GAGTTAGCAAATGACCTTATGAATGCTGAGAAGATCTGGAGGGTTAAGAGTTGTACTGAGAATTTATTGAAGTGGAATGATATTGGGGAAGCCATCCTTAGGCAAAGAGCAAAAATCCAATGGCTTAAGGATGTAGATGGTTGCACTGCCTTCTTCCATGCTTCTATTAAATCTAAGAAATCTAATAAAGCGATGAACTTGCTGCAGATAGATGATGGCTCTACTATAATTCTCAAAATCTGATTGAACAGGAAATCCTGAAGTTCTATGGTTCTCTCATGGGGAAGAGTGATGACAATTTGGATTTTATTGATATTAGGGCTATGAGGCAGGGTCCTCAGTTGCAGCAAGCTCAGAGAGAAACTCTGGTGGCTCCAATTTCCAGTGAAGATATCTATGTTGCGTTGAAAGGTATCAATGATTTGGCTGCTCCTGGATTAGATAGATATTCTGCAAAAAAATTCAAGGCCAGTTAGGATACTGTTAAAGGTGAAGTCATAGCAACTGTTAAGGACTTCTTTGATAAAGGCAAGCTTTATAAAGCTTTCAACTGTAATCTTGTTTCTCTTATCCCTAAATCAGAGTCTGCCTCCTCTATTAAGGATTACAGGCCCATCTCTGTGTGCACTGTCATCTATAAAATCCTTTCCAGAATCATGACCAAAAGACTAAGCAGAGTGATGGGTAGTATAATCAGTCCAAATCAGGCTGCTTTCATTAATGGGCAACGGATCCATCATCATATTCTTCTTGCTTATGAACTTATAAAGGGGTATAATAGGAAGAATGGCCCTCCTCGTGTTATGCTTCAGTTGGATATGCAAAAAGCGTACGACATGGTTAGTTGGAAAGCTCTGGAGCTGATTATGCAGGAACTTGGTATTCCAACAATTTTCATTCAGTGGATTATGGCGGCTGTTTCTAACACATCTTATAGATTCTCTGTGAATGGCTATACTACTGAGCTACTGGTGGCTAAACGTGGAATACGCCAAGGGGACCCCATTTCTCCTTTCCTCTTCTCCTTTATCATGGAGTATCTCCATAGATGCTTGGCGCTTATGCAGATCAATCCAAATTTCAACCATCACTTTAAATGCGAGAAACTTCAGTTGACTAATCTCATGTTTGCGGATGATGTTTTACTGTTTGCTAGAGGGGACATAATCTCTGTTGAGCTTCTTCTTACGGCCTTCACTACTTTTTCTAATTCTACAGGTGTGGTGGTCAATATTGGCAAGAGTAAAATTTATTTTGGTTCTGTAGATTCTAGCACCAAGAATCAGATCTTAATGTGGGCTAAGTTCAAGGAGGGCTCTCTTCCATTTCGTTATCTGGGCATTCCTCTAACCTCCAAGAAGTTGAGTTGCAACCATTACTTGCCTTTGGTGGATAAGATTATGGCCAGAATGAGTCATTGGTCTGCTAGACTTCTTAGCTATACTGGGCGTGTTCAATTGGTAAAATCTATATCTTTTGCTATTGCTAATTTCTGGATTATGGTTCTTCTCCTGCCTAAAGTTGTCCTCAAGAAGATTGATTATTTGTGTCGGTCTTTTGTCTGGTCTGGAACTAATACTATGAATAGAAGAAGTTTGGTAGCTTGGACTACAGTCTGTAAACCTGCCAAGTATGGTGGTTTGGGGATCATTGATTTTTGCATCTGGAACAAGTGTGCTATGCTGAAACTGTTGTGGAACATATGCGCTAAATCTGACAGCCTTTGGTTGAAGTGGGTTCATGCTTACTATTTGAAGGATTGTAACATAATGGAGGCCAAAGTTAAAGCTTCTAGCTCGTGGATTATGCGTAAAGTCTTGGATCAGAGGACCTTCATTCTTTCTCATTCCCATTTTTGGCATGCGTTAATCTCCAAGGGTGCTTTTAGCATGAGGGGTTATTATTTGGAAATAGTTGATAAACCTCATATTCCGTGGGCGAAGCTGTTTCAGAACAACCCGTCCAGGCCTAAAGCTAAGATTATTACATGGTTGGTTTGCCACAATAAGCTAGCAACCAAAATTCGTTTATACCGTTTTGGCTTCATCACGGACAATAGATGCTGTTTATGTCCTAGTATAGAAACTGCTTCTCATCTTTTCTTTGATTGTGATGTTACTAGGCGGATTTGGTGTGAAGTTCTTGCATGGCTTCAAATGGAATATCATGTGCCTAAAGCTTGGGAGGAGGAACTTCATTGGGCCATCAAGTGGGGGAAAGGCAAAGGTTGGAGAGCCTGTTTGATTAAGCTTGCCTTTGCTGAAACAATATACGGATTTTGGGTATATCGTAATAGCATTTGTTTTGGGGCAGGTTTGGATTTGTGTCATGTGACCAAAACCATTATCGATACTATTGTTTTTAGGGGATGGCATTGTAAAATCTTAAAGGATAGGATTCTCGGGTTAATGTTGCCTTAGGTTCTTTGGTTGGTTAGATCCTTGCGATCGCCGTGTATTTCTTTTGCTTTTTGGTATAATTCAAGTCCTTATTCAAAAAAAAAAAAAGACTTAGGTTCGAGATTCGTGGTTACAACTTTTTTTTTTGTTACATTCAAAATTATTTAATATTAATATAAATCACGAGAATTATCGGTCACTAATATACATTGACGTATTTTTATTATGAATTTAAAATTGTTTAATATCACTATAAATCATAAAATTATCTGTCACCGACGTAGATTAATCTAGTGGTAAAGATATACGGTGTGGCATAAAGGATCTTGTGTTTGATTCTTTTTAAAATAAGTTTTTCTTTTGTTTTTTATATTTTTAAACTTGAATTGTTTAAAAATAAAAAACAATTTATTATTTCAATTAAAAAAATAAAAAACAATATCCAACGTGGCAATATGATTTAAAATTAGAAAAAAAATTAATAGAAAAACTAATATCACCTAATTAAACTTTATACAGAATTAAATCAATTTTTTTATGAAGAATTAATATAGGAAGATTTTATCTCATACCTCCACCTTTATCCTCATACCCTTATATTTTATAATAAATACCAACTTTATTCTTGTATAATTTAAACTAAGTTATTATTTTATTTTTTTAATATCTTTTTTATTTTTATTTTGTAAAGACTTGGCAAAAGTGTTTCATAAATTAATTTTTTACATAATTTTTATTTTATGTTTCGGAAGACTTTTCAAAAGTATTCTAGAAGTTATTTTTTAAAGATTTTTTATTTTGTGTATCAGAAAAATTTTCAAAAGTTTTTCGAAAGTTATTTTTTAACTTTTATTTTGTATATCAGAAGACTTTGCAATAGTGTTTTGTAAGTCAAATTTTTACATTAATTTTTATTATGTGTACCGGAAGACTTTTCAAAAGTTTACATAATTCTATTTTGTGTTCCGAAACACTTTTCACAAGTGTTCTGAAAGTTATTTTGTAAATATTTTTTATTTTGTATATTTGAAGACTTTTCAAAAGTGCTCAGAAATTTATTTTTAAATATTTTTTAACTTTTATTTTGTGTATTGAAAGACTTTACAAAAGTGTTCCGAAAGTTAACTATTTTTACATTATTTTTTATTGTGTATTGGAAGACTTTTCAAAAGCGTTATGGAAGTCAATTTTTTATATAATTTTTATTGTGTTTCGGAAGACTTTAAAAAAAGTATTTTGAAAGTCAATATTTTTTTACATTTTTTAACTTTTATTTTGTATACTGAAAAATTTTACAAAAGAGTTATGGTAGTCAAATATTTTTAAAAAATTTAACTTTTAATAAAATTTTATATAAGGGTATTTTGATTAAAAAAAATATAATGTAGAGATAAGGAAATAAATGTTGGAGTATGAGATAAAATTTTCTTAATTTAAATTCTATAATTTTTGTGAAAGGTTAAAATGAGTGTTCACTTTAAAAAAAATTATACAATGAATATTTATATATTTTTAATATTTAATGAGTCAACATACATACATTTCAATTAACAATGTCTACATAATTTTTTTTAAAATCTATTTATATCTATTAAATTCAGTGCATCAAATTATCTTACGACACTTCAACTTCTATCTTAAAACACTTCAATTTTTTTATGCCACATCATTTATTTTTCTAATGACATCTCTCATAATCCATCTTCAATTTTCAAATGTTAAAATATATTGTTACTCTCTATAAGAGGTCATTGATTCAAATCCTCACAAATACAAAAATATAATAATCTAATATTTATTTATTAACTTTTTTATTTCAAAAAATATCATACTAATTTACTCACAGTAAACTTATTATTATTATTTTAATGCAATACATTATTAGACAAATATAATTAAATTTTAATTAAATCTCAACAAATTATTTTTCAACATACAACTAATCTGCTCATATATATTATTTTCATAAACAATATAGACTATTCATATTTGTCTTAAAATAATTTCTTAATTATAAAAATGAAACAAAAGATATTTTGATATATTTTTTATTTAATATTTCTAATATAATTTTATAATCTTTTATTTTAAAAAAATAAATGAGATGGTACTTATTCATCATATATTTTAAATAAATAGTACTATCATTTAAAGACGGTATTGGATTTAATGTTTAATTTTAAAATCATATTGCAAAAATCACATATATATATATATATATATATATATATTTTTTTTTTGCATATTGATAAATAGTTTGGGGTTCAACCTTTACAATAATTCATCTTTATTTTAAATAATATTTGAAATAAAGAAATTCTTGATCGTTTTTTATTAAATACTCTAAAAACACAATAATTACTCCAATTAAATATACTTTTTAAAATTCGAAAATAAAAGAGATGCTCGAATCCACATACTTTAAAATAATTTTTGTTTTCTTAAAATCATAGCAACAAAAACTTTAAAAAAAAAACTTTTAATGTTTAAGTATGTATAGTCCATATTTACTTTTTATTTTTATTTTTAACATAATTAAAAAGTCTCCACCGAGTCATACCTACACTAGACCCCACCATAGTAGAATATTTGCACTATAAAATGATGAAAACACACATCAAGTTATATTCAAAATCAAATAGTTGTTTCTTAATTATGACGATGAAATCTTCATTAGCGATCATCCTTTTGGTGCTCTTTCACATTGTTGGGTTGGTAGTTTCCGACCCTCCTCCGTACCACGCTAATGAATCTTCACCTTCATACGAGTTATCTGCTGTAACGAATAAACCTCCAAAGACTTCACCAAAAAAGTCTCCACCACCTCCGTACCGACGATCACCACCGCCGCCGCCACCTCATTCTGAAAAGCCTTTTGACTTCCTTATGTTGGCTGAGATATGGCCAGAAACTTACTGCATCATGATGAACCAAGTTTGTAGAAAAATTACACCCTCAAAATTTGTAATACACGGCCTGTGGCCGAGCAACAGCGATATAGCTGATTCTCAGCCACGTAATTGTCATAACACAACTGAACCAGATATTTCTTCAGTAAGTTTATAACTTTCTTCATTAATTTATTCTACTTTTTAACTTTAAAAATAGGTTTTATAAACAGTTTTCATTTAAGAAAGACCTACAAAAGGAGTGGCCGTCTTTGAGATCTTATCAGAATACTTCAGTTGAGGACACTACCCTCTGGATGAGACAATGGAATTATCATGGAACTTGCAGCTTAATGACTCCAGAGAAATATTTTGAGGAGACAATCAAAATTCACAAGAGAGTTAATTTAAAGTTCACCCTTAACAAAGCAGGTCTTCCTCCAACTAATAGAAGACCTCACCAATTGTCTAATATTTTCAGTGCCATCAAGAACCGTATTGGATTTAAGCCTCAAATTCAATGTTATCAAATTCACAACACATTCTATTTGCGAGAAATAAGAGTGTGTGTGGACAAAAGCACACCACACGGTTACATTGATTGTCCTAGAGACTATGTTGATTGCGGAAGTAATGTAGTATACTTTCCTGAAAAAGAATAATGCTCCAAATAACGAAAATAATTAGGATGCTGCTTTCGCTCAAATAAACTGTACCGTTACATTTGAAACTCCATCAATCTTATTGTCTTTGTTTTTCTTTTTTGCCTTTAAATGTTTGGTTTATCCAATAAGTTATAAAATTATTTGATGTTTTTTTATTAGTTTAGTTTAACTATTAACTAGATATATAGCTCGGAAGTTGATTTAAATATTTATCTCAAATATTATTTTAAGCAAAAATATATATTTTAGTAAATATAGTACATGCTGGGGAAGATAAAAGAGATAAGCTCCCTTCTCTTACATCTTCAACCAACTATTAGCATTTTGCTTGAAACTAGAGTGAAAGAAATAAAGGCCAAGATAATCAGAGAAAAGCTAAATATGAACAGATCCTTCATCGATAACTACTCTGCCCACCCTAACGGTCGAATCTGGATTCTTTGGGATGACACAAAGGTTGATCTGAAGTTGTGCAGCATGTCTAGTCAACATATTCACTGTGGTATCTACACAGTCACATGCGAGTTTCTCTATTGGCTTACTGCAATCTATGCCCACAATCAATTGGACATGAGAAGAATTCTTTGGAGGAAGATGGAAAACATCCACATGAATCAAGTTGGCCCTTGGTGTGCCATTGGAGATTTCAACAATGTGGTTACAGCTAGGGACAGAATTGGTGGGAAAATGGTGAGTGATTATGAATACATTGATATTGCTAGCATGATGAGGAAAACTGATTTGTATGAAATGGATAGTGTGGGGGACCACTTCACTTGGTCAAATAAACATGCCTCTGGTACTATTTACTCCAAGATTGACAGGGCAATCTGCAATCCTGATTGGTTCCAACTCTTCCCTGAACATGTGCTGAGTATCATGCCTCCTAATGTTTCTGACCACTCTCTGCTTTCTATCAGTGGGCCTGCTGAGTTCAAAAGAGGTAATCACTTTAAATTCAATAATTATCTCATTGACATCAATGGTTTCAAAGAGATGGTCAAAAATTCCTGGGATATTCCTGCCTGTGGGGACCCTATGCAGGTTCTATGGTACAAGCTTCATAGACTTAAGGCTGATATCAAGAACTTTAGCAAGCAGACAGGGAACTTAAAGAAGAGACTGATGGTTGCAAGGGAGAAGTTACATAAAGCCCAAAATGAGCTCAAAAATAACAGGCAAGATGGTAACTTGATAGAGCAGATCAAAACTTTTACTGAAGATATCATTAATCTTCATGACCATGAAGAGAATAGACTGATCCAAAGGGCAAAAATTGACTGGATTAAAAAGGGTGATGGTAATAACAAATTCTACTTCGCACATACTAAAGCCAGGCAGAAAAGAAACTACATTAATTTCCTGCAGCAAGATAGTGGGGAAGTCATAACAGGGCAGGAAAATATTGAGAAAGAGGTTATGCATTTTTACCTACAGCTGCTGGGTAAGACCCCTAACCATACCAAGCATATAGATATTGAAGCAATGAGAATGGGAAGGCAGGTTCAGGATAACCAAAAAAGCAACCTTGTCAACTGTGTGTCTACCAAGGAGATCGAAGATGCCTTGAAGAGTATTGGAGACAACAAATCCCCAGGCCCTGACGGATTTACGGCCAAGTTTTTCAAAAATTGTTGGGATATTCTGCAGAAGGATGTTAGTACAGTTGTTGAAGAGTTCTTCAGAACAGGTAAAATCTTTAGCAAGTTTAACAGAACCCTGGTAACCCTCATCCCAAAAGGAGATAGAGCTATAGGGATTAAGGACTATAGGCCCATTTCTGGTTGCAATGTTTTTCTCAAAATTATCTCGAAGATTCTTACTACCAGACTGAAAACGGTCTTGCCTTCCATTATTAATCAGAATCAGGCAGCTTTCATCTCAGGTCAAGACATCCACAACCACATCCACCTAGCTACTGAACTTGTCAAAGGTTATGATATGAAGCATGGTACTCCTAGATGCATGATTCAAATCGACCTACAGAAGGCATATGACATGGTGTTTCCAGTGATTTCTGGTAAACAACCACTAGTCCTCCAAACTATCGAATAAACTTACTGACTGTTATTCAATTTCTCTGGTAACTCGCAGGATCGACTAGATTGATCCTAGGACGTGTTGGTCATTAGGGTAACTCTCATGATCGAACAGGTATTCATGGTTGGTATTTAGAATGTTGTGTAGGTGTTTGACTTATTTCGATTTCTCTCTTAAGGATCTAAAGGTATAATCAAAATATATGTGCGTGAAACTAAATTGCATGAAGATAAAGGTTAATTGTAAAGACATGTAAAAACTGCATAAAAGACAAGTAAATGGCTTCGAAACGTAAAACAAAACAGTTAGTGTAAAAGATTCGAAAATATGAAGAAAGCGTTTAATGCAAGAAATCTGTAAAATGGTTTTAAGTAAAAATAGGCGTTCGAAGGATAAAAACTTGAAGATAAAGGTGTGAAAAGTATGACAGTTTCTGAAATGTAAAGTGTTTGAAATGTAAAGAAAGCATTTAAATGTAAGGCATCAATGGAAAGATTTCGAATAAAAAGACTTTAGATGCAAAAAACTTGTAAATGGTATTGACATAAAGATAAGGAAAGTACTGGAAATGATAAAGGGTTTTCATTAAATCATAAACATGTGGTGCTATCATATGTACATTGCTCTTGCATTCGTTTCCCTAGCCATGTGGTAATTTGAATGTTTACTGAGTTTTTTGTACAAATAGATATGACACACGAAATCCTAATGCTAAGACTTCTATTTATACTACTTCGACCATAACGGTCTTGCTATAAGATTCTGCCACGTTCAGAACATGCAGAGCAATGCCTCTCTCTTACTTCCACGTGTCTTCGAATGCTCCAGCGCATATATTTCAAATTTCGAACATCCCGCTTGCATTTGAATTTCAAATGTTTTGGCACTTCTTCGCTTCGAACGTACTTCTTTAGACACAGCCTTGTTGTCATTTCGAGACTTCTTTAGATATGTTCTCATAATTGCCACTCGAAGCTCCAAGCTTTGATATGCTCATTCGAAACACTGCTTCTGCTATTTCGAAACATGACGTTTTGTTTCATTTCAATCGAAACGTCCAATTCATTTGGCTTCTAATAATATTATCAAAATCTTCAGCCAACACATGGTTGATTGGGGGGCTTTAGACAAAATTCTGAGGGAATTGGGCTTTCCAACCAGATTTGTCCAATGGACCCTCACCCTGATCTCAACTGTTTCGTATACTTTCAATATAAATGGCAACCTTTCTAATTTTCTGCAGGCAAAGAGAGGTATCAGACAGGGCAACCCAATGTCCCCGCTCCTATTCGTGATCATGATTGAGTATCTTGATAGGTGCTTGGTGAAGATGCAGCGTAATCCTGACTTTAACCATCACGCTAAATGTGAGCAGTTGGCACTGACAAACCTCGCTTTTGCAGACGACATTCTTCTTTTCTGCAGAGGTGATGCTGTTTCAGTGGATATTCTCATGACAGTTTTCAGGAACTTTTCCATCTCTACTGGCCTAATTTGTAACCCAAGGAAATGCAACATTTTCTTCGGTAGTGTGGAGCAGACTGAGAGAAACAATATCAGTACAACAGTTGGGTTTGCAGAAGGTAGATTCCCAATTCGCTATTTAGGGGTTCCTCTTAGCAGCAAAAAACTCAGTGTGCAGAACTACCTTCCCCTTATTGAGAAAATCACGGGGCGTATCCGTCACTGGGCTACGAAACTGCTAAGCTATGCTGGTTGAATCCAACTCGTGAACAACATCATCTGCTCAATATCTCAGTACTGGATGCTAAACTTTCCCCTCCCCAAAAGTGTGCTTAGGAAGATTGATATTATCTGTAGAACGTTTATTTGGACAAGCAGGAACGATGCTAGTAACAAAAGCTTTGTTGCTTGGAAGAATATGTGCAAGCCTAGGAAGCAAGGTGGTTTAGGTATCAAGAACCTAATTGTTTGGAACCAAACTGCCTTACTAAAGTGCCTATGGAATATCAGCAATAAAAGTGACAGCCTATGGGTTAAATGGATTCATAAGGTTTATCTGAAAAATAGAGACGTCATGGAAGCTATTGTGGGGCAAAGCTGGACGTGGACCACAAGGAACATCATGCACCTTAGAAGTAAGGTTACTCAAATTCAACACCAATGGGACCATATGCTTCATCATCATAAGTATTCCATGAAAGAAGTTTATTCCTTGCTTATTGATGACATGAGTAGAAGTACTTGGAGTAAGTTATTTACGCATAATTACGCTAGGCCAAAAGCTAAGTTTACCACCTGGATGTTGTGTCATGGAAAGCTCCCCACTAAAGATAGATTGATGCATTTTGGTATTGCTCAGGATAGCTTATGTAGGTTGTGCGGTGTGGAGGAAGAAAATGCTAACCATATTTTCTTTAGCTGCCCTAACACCATTACTGTTTGGATGGCAATTCTAACTTGGTTGGGGGTTAACCATAAACCCTTTATATGGGAGAACGAGTTGAAGTGGGTTCTGGCTAGCACCAAAGGCAAGGGCTGGTGGGCAACTGTGCTCAAAACAGCGTTCACAAAAGCTATTCATGAAACATGGCTTCGCAGGAATGCTACTATTTTTGATACTACTTATAATTATAACTCAGTAGAAAGAATTATTGATTGTATAGTGTATAGATGCTGGGGAAATAGGAAGATTAGGCCCAATATTGCTAGATTACTGATTTAGTTTTTTTGTAGCTTTAGCTGGCTGAATCTGTTGAGATTGCCTTGTTTATTCCTCTCCTTTTGAATTAATATACATCTTTTTGGTTCAAAAAAAAAAATAATAATATAATAATAATAATAATAATAATAATAATAATAATAATATAATAATAATAATAATAATAATAATAATAATATTATTATAATAATAATAATAATAATAATAATAATATAATAATAATAATAATAATAATAATAATAATAATAATAATAATAATAATAATAATAATAAT